AAATTGAGAGAAGAACATAGCTTTAAAAAAAAATCAGTTGTTGGATTGCTGAGACATGGAAAAAGGAAAAAAAGGCATGCTGGACTGGCGTGCACACCTTTTTTTTTTTTTTTTTTTTTTTTAATGCGCACATTTTGAAACGAGTGTTTCAAGACAAGTTTTTCCCACTGCTTGTCAGACCACACTTTCCGTCACAATTCCTATTCTTCTTCTTTCTTCTTTACCGAAGGATAAAGATGCTTGTTAATAACGAGGACTTTTTTTTTTTTTTTGGGGGGGGAATAAAGAGGACTTCGCTTTCTCTCTGTCTGTTTCCTTTTGCGTACATGGAACGATCGTGATTGCAGCCAGAGAGTAGCCCAAAGTAGCTTTAAAAAAAAAAAAAAAAAAAAAAAAACTTGTCGTGAATGACTGAAAGGGTACTGCGATCTAACTGAGCACGAACCCGGCCCAGATGCAGAACGTGTTCATGCTAAGCTGGCACACAGTGCCGCAAGTGGGGTCCGCGAACCTAAGAAGGCTGCAGAAGGAGAGTGGGCGCAGACCGATCGGTGCACAAAAAAGAGAAAGAGAAAACATGTGCACAGACGAATGGAGTGGGTACGAGATTCCCACTGTTCGTATCTACCATCCTCCGAGACCTGGGGCCAAGTCCCACTTACGCTGATCCTTGATTTCTGGTCGTTGATCTTCCGAATCTGCGGTCAGAAATCGATCATTCGGGTAGGTGGGACCTGGCCCCTGAGCCAAAGGAACGGACAAAGAAACGAGGAAAAAGGAAAAGAATGACGGACGTATAGGAATGGGTAAGGGGTGAAAAAAAAAAGAATCAGGGTGCACTCGACCAGGACTTTTCCGTACTCATCTTCGGACGTAATTGCTGTTAGATACATGCACGACTGGCTGTAAAACCGGCCAGATACATCCAGGAAAGCCCTACTGTGAGTATGCCCTCACACGGCCACCGGAAAGGGTAGAGGCTGAAAGCATGGACACACAGACATATATAGGTAGAGCGTGAAACTCGACGAATATATATCTGTTTGTGACGATATATATATCGTCAAACAGAGCTGCCCGGTAAAGCGTAGGCAGAGAGGGAGAAGAGGACAACAACGAGGGGCTGGAGAGAGAGAGAGAGAGAGAGAGAGAGAGAGAGAGAGAGAGAGAGAGAGAGAGGAATATCGATTAGTTAGGAAAAAGGGACATGGACCGTTTTTGCGGTCACACATGTGTAGCTCTCTCACACGTGTACAGCTCTCTGAGCTCTTGCTTGCGAAAACTTCAGGAGGAATGGTCAACACACACAACACTTGAACACCTCTCCTCCCGCCAGAGTGCAGCCTCGTCAGGGGGACCACCTTTCCTCTTCCTGTGTCTTTCGGGGAATGCGTTAGAAAAAAATTGAACGACGCAGAGAGGAGTGCCATCTTCACCCGAATAGAACGCACGTTAACTATAGTTGTATGAGGGTCAACTTTCGGTCGAGATACAGCGCTAATAATCCTGCGTTCTCTTCGGGAGAAAGACTAGTAAGATAGCATAGCCCCTGCGCAAAGATGAGACGCCCAAAACTAAGCCCGTACCACGGTAGTAGGCGAAAAGAGGAGCGCCTGTGCGTGCGCTTCTCCCTGCTGCACGGTAATTCACCCGTGAGCGGACCTCTGCTGTAGAGGAGATTTCATCATTTCACTCCTGGCTCGTGGGCATGGCACATCAGTCTCAAGTTGACAACCCTCAACCCGTAAGCACACTCACCAAAGCGTCCTGCATAGCTACCGCTAGTCCAAGGTCCCTAACTAAACCGTACGTGAGCAATCATTCGTAACAAGGCGGCACTGACGTCCTACTGTAGTAACCGTAGCAGTGAAGGCCATAGCTAGCCGGTTAACATAATCATCAAGTACGGTGCTCAACTCAAAAAGGCAGCCATCTGTGCTCTGTGCGACGATTACCTGCAGAGAGATCGCCTTCGAGACAAGAACAGGGAACAGCAACTTGGAAAGCTAAACACTGCATATCTGCGCCTAGGAAAGACATACCACCCTCAAGGAGTACAGCAGTGGCCGAAGCGGCCTTCTTCTGGACACGCTTGTCAGCAAGAATTCCGCATGTATCACTCAACGTAAGCGCATATCCCCGTTCAGGAAAAAACATACCACGAAGAAAAGTGACAAACAGTGGCCAAACTGCTTTCACTACATGCTTCTCAAGCTCGTGGCGCGTTAACGGCCACTACTCTACGAAGTACTGGTGGGCCAAACTGCTTTCAGTGGTCCACACTGCTTTCCGCACATGCGCAACTCTCAGTTACGTCGTGGACATGCCCCTCGGCCAGGTGCACACACCCGGCGCTCCTCAGGGGGCTTGCCGCAATCCCGTCTCTCGGCAGCACCACCATCCATTACAACTCCGCATGTGCTGATCTCAGAAGAAACGCGCAAATTCGCTGAGACGTTTCGGCCAGGTAGCGGACCTGAGGCGAAGGAGGAGGAGGAGGAGGAGGAGAAAAAAAGACAAGCTCCTTCAGCTTGACGGATGGAACAATAGTAACTCGCTGATACGCCTGTCTTTCTACCATCTTTTGTTTTGCTCTGCATGTCCCTACGGGGAGCACTTGTGACGTTTTTACTTCGGACGGTTCCTTTTTTACTGCAGTGTGACCGTGACGACACCCTAGGAATGCATTCCTAGGGTGTCGTCACGGTCACACTGCAGTGTTTCTTGTGCTAATAGACCTTGGCACTTGCCTGGTCCGTTCCGCTGCGGCTAGCGTGATTACTAGTGTTTTTTTCTTTTTTTTTTGGATTAGCTTGAAATACGCGCGAGGGGCGTCTTTGCTTTGCATGGATGTCTGAGTGGATGCATTGTTCCCACCATCTCACCCTGTGCAGTCAGTTAACGAGATGACTCTCGTCAAAATTGTTAGAGTCAGTAAACAAAAAAGTACGTAGGCTGACTCTCTTAGTGGGTAACCCGTGTTAAGCCGTTGAAACTTGAAAGTGAAAAATTAACTCTTCTGTTCACTTCTCCTAGGTAGTTAAAACGAGCAACTTGTGGTAGTTGGCGAGCTTTTGCGGTAATTGGCGAATTACTACCGTCTTCCCCCGAACATAACGCACCCTGATAATGAATGTATACACACTATCTTTCAGTCCCGATGCAGTCAAAATGATGGTGCGTTGTGTTTGGCGGAAGACTGTAGTACTACTCTTAAGTCTCCACTGATTTCCTCCAGGTTTCGAGATAGATTTCCTTTTTCCTTTTTCTTTCAAAACGAGCGACGGGCTGAAGATATCATCATTGAGCGGACCGGCGCCAGGTGATTGAGAAATTCAATCATTTTTTTTTTTTTTGTTCTGTTCATCTGATTGTTTGTGGATTCGACTTCCGGTCTTTTATTTCAACAATCATGCGTGCGCCAACTGAGCTTGGCCTTTAGATTAGTCGTATTCTGTTTTAATCTGTTTATTGGTACCATGTGTGTACCATTAAAACAAATTCGCTAAGTAGTGAATTTGTTTACAAACGTAGCGCATGCGGCTTTAATGGTACACACATGGAATTGTTAAGAACCAGATCATGAGCTCGAATCTCGATTTGAATGAGCTGGAAATAACGTCGTTAGGCGCGAGCCCCCGCGTATAGAAAAGAGGTCATCCATTGTTTTGAAAGTCTATATCTATCTGACGTCTGATTTTTTCAGAGCTCGGAAGCGGATGAGCTCAGCGTGTAGGATATATCAAAATAGATAAAAAACTTTTAGACACAAATGGACAAAGACAAATCACAGCTTTGGCAGGGAGACGGTAGTCGCTACTAGTCGGAGGTTGCTGAAGTTTTGAGTATCAACTGGCGAAAGACAGTGAGCTGCTGACTGTGGCTGAAGACCAGGCGTGAAGCGCAAAATCAAATTTTGCGGTCAAGAGTTCTGTCTAGTCGTCGTTTCTCTGCCTCGCTCTTGTAGCGACTCGATGATCCACCTAAAGCAGCTGTGTGAAGTTTGAACCCTTCTTTTACCCCCAACAGAGCGCAACTAGGAATTCTCCCTCTCAGGTAGAAGAAAACTCCCGCTCTCCCTCTCTCCCTCTCCCCTTCCCTCTCTCTCTCTCTCTCTCTCTCTCTCTCTCTCTCTCTCTCTCTCTCTCTCTCTCTCTCTCTCTCTCTCTCGTGCGCTCTCTCTCTCTCTCTCTCTCTCTCTCGTTCTCGCTCGCGCTATCCTTGGTTTTTTCTTGTGTCTTTGGCTGCTTCTTTCTCTCTGCGCGCTCGCTCCCTCGGTCAAAAGAACGATAAAATTTTCAACGTGAAGCTCGTGGCGCGATCGAGGAAGATTGGCCTTTGCATCGTGCTCTTCCCTTCACCTCGGCGCACTTCGCGATCGAGGAAGATTGGCCTTTGCATCGTGCTCTTCCCTTCACCTCGGCACCTCTCTCTCTCTCTCTCTCTCTCTCTCTCTCTCTCTCTCTCTCTCTCTCTGTGTGTGTGTGTGTGTGTGTGTGTGTGTGTGTGTAATCCCCCTCT